CCTGGATGAGAATACTTTTTGAGGGCTAAGGCTATGTGAAATTGTTGGAAACGTGAGGCCTACTCACATGATTGTGGAAAAACCCAATTACTAGTTCTTCATCACCTTAAACCAAATAAGATAAATACAGCTCTTATATTCGAATTAATCGTAGTCTCGAAAACCAATTAATAAACGGAAAATATCTTGAGAATGCTCGTCGAGATACGTTCTTCGAGGTCGCCTTAACAACACGAGCAAGTTGTGGAACCGACTTTGAGCCAATTTCATATGGCAAAAGGAGACTTAAAGTAAGGTTGAGGCCACGTAGTCTTAGTGGCCATACCAAAAATCCTTCCTGAAATATGGTTGGTTGCGTCCAACCGGCTCCTCTTTCGGATGGATTTCATCCAGGAAAAACTGGTTGCTCTGTCTACTCCATTTACAGTCAACTTCACGTGATAATTACTCCTTTATTTTAAAAAATATACTAGATGCTATGCTATATTACTTAACCGCCATTTTCTTCTTTGTCTCGCTTGCGTCGTTGCGCATGCTCAAAAAATGTGACACGAAATGAATAAACTCCCTGCCTGTAACTCCGTTTTCTTTGCCTTCTTTTATCCTTTTCCTTTTAAGGTCAATGAAAACCTGACATTAGTCGTAAATTCTGCCGCTGCAATTGGTTGCTGCGTGGTTAATATCGGACCACAAGATATTTCAGATTGCGCCCGCCACCTTGTGCTTGGCCTGATCTGGCAGTTTATCCGAAAGGGCGTCGTTGACTCCATCACTCTGGCAAACCACTCAGAACTGATGGCTTTACTGGCTGAGGGTGAGGACATTGAGCGTCTTCGTGGCCTCAGGCCAGAAGAATTGTTAATGCGTTGGGTGAATTATCACTTGGAACGTGCGGGTGTCTCTCGCCGGCTGACCAATTTCAACAATGACGTTTGCGACTCTGTAATCTATGCTCATCTGCTGCAACAGATAGCCCCTAGTGACAAGAAAGATTGTCTGGTATCGGCTGTCGAAGTGCTTTCAACACAGGACAATTGCAAAAGGGCTACTCTCGTATTAAACAATGCTAAAACACTGAATGCCAACACCTTCCTCACTCCAGAAGATATTTACTTGGCAAATGAGAAAGGAAAAAATCAACGGGATCGCTTGAATCTTGGTTTTCTGGCAACCCTTTTCAACATGTATCCTGGCCTCGAGAAACCAAAGGAAGTCGAGCAACTGGAAATTGAGCAGGAGAATCTAGAAGAGAAGACATACAGGAACTGGATGAACTCCTTGGGCGTTGAGCCCTACGTAACGCATTTATATCATGGTTTGTCATCAGGCGTTGTGCTACTCCAACTGATCGACCACATCCGGTCGGAAACCGTCGACTGGACACGGGTCACAACCAAGTTTGACCCCAAAAAACAGATATTCCAGAAACAGGGCAATTGTAATCTGGCGCTAGAATATGCAAAAAAAATAGGATTGAAGTTTGTAAACCTGAGTGGTGAAGACATTCGAGAAGGCGAAAAGAAACTGGTACTGGGCGCCTGTTTTCAGCTGATGCGAAGCTACACATTCAAGCTTCTTCGGCAGGTATGTGGATTTCTAATAGAACAATCAGATATTTTATGCAAAAAAATGTTAGGTTTCGAAGAACCTCTTGCTTCAAAATTGTTGAGCTTATTTCCATTTCGAATGAAAGTGTTAGGTGAAAAGATTCAAGGGCCGGCCCCACCAGAAGATGAAGGCGGATACCTCAAGACCAGCTGTCGATTGACCATACTGGAACATTCTTGATGACGCTGCTTCCTAGGTAATCTCCTTCGCTTCAGGTGAAAACTTGTAAAGCTTCCGTCCGTCGTATAAAGAACATCATTAGAGAAGCACATCATCCTTACAGCCATATTCAAGCTAGCTTGTCAAGAAAATTCACCGGTTCATCCCTAAAAAGCTACATATATGTATACACTCTATATCTAACTATTTTGAGGAGGTATAAAGTGATTCGATTAGTTTCAGTCATAATTCAACCTTGGAGCATGTGAATGAGTCTGTCTCTGTATATTTTCACGTGTACGAATCCAGCAGTGATGGCTTAAAGTAAATAGGTTATCAAAAGTAACGTCTGTTCTCAGTAATCAAGGT